TAATCTTTGATGAAAATTTTTATGAAACCACTACTCAGTTATGAAGAACTAACGGCAACACTTAATGAGACTGAAACAATCCTTAAAGTTCGATGTGATTCAGCTATGTATATAGTGAAATTGAAGAACGATACAGGCCCCAGCACACGTTTTAATAGAAAAAAAATATTATCATTTCTTTCAGGAATAATAATAAATGCAACCTCTACAAAAATAAACGAATGTAGTAAGATATTCACGTATCATCTCAAACTGTTAGAGAAATTTTAGGAATGGTAGAGACAAGAGTACTTGCTTGACATAAAAACCAGTCATCAGAATAACCATACTTTATGAAAGATTCAGTCGTTCTCGTCCATGAGTATAAACTTCCGAGACTGTTCTAAAAGATGTGAGTTGTAAATGAACGAGTAGTTGCCGAGATATAAAGATCCGTTAATTTGTCATGTAGCCAAGATGGAAAGCAGATTAAGGATATTATGCTATGAGAAGCTATCAATATATATCTAAATCGGAGCACGACAAAATAACAAACATATTGTTTTCTTTAAAGAACACTTTAAGAATAAAATAAATATAAACTCGCGTGGCTGTGCACTAACATAGAATCTATATTATGATAATGTGTAAGGTTTAAGATGCTTACTTTGTCTGTACAGACAAAAATTACTTCTATAAACCTAATCCATGTTCCCTGATAGAGAACTTTATTCTAAAGATAATTTATTTGAACTGAAAAAATGAGCTTATTAGCTTGAGGAAAATTTATAATAAAGTCATTCAATGCTGCGAATAGAAGGTTTCAGTGGAAACGAAATCAAAATTTTTATTCTGTACTTATAAAACATCGATCCTTACAAAATTTGCAACTAACTCCATGGAAATATCGATTTCAGATATTTCTTCGAACTTGGCAGTTAATTATGAGGAAAATTTAGCTTCTAATTGTAAATAAACCCATTGAACAATGTACTATCTTTAAACAATCTTCTTAAATATATATACCCCCTTTTTTAGGAAACTGTAATTCAAAGCGTATATTTGTGATTATTGTATGATCAAATAAAATTTGTAATATCGTCTTTGAGCATTGTTTTGATAGCTAATATTTATTATCTTATATTCAAACTATGGTAGCTAAAATTATAGCAATATAAATGTTTTTTTTTTATCTTATGACATTTCCAAACTACAGAGAATTAAAGAAATTTACATTGATCGCTTTCAATTCAAAAATATTAAAATATTAAAACTGAATCGATATGTTAAGATTTAATGCATCCTTTAGCTTACCTGTTTTGTCTAATACTTTAAAATCTGAATTTATTTGAAATAAAACAATTTCAAATTCTTCTCTAAATGTTAATCGCCTAAACCATCCAATCTTTTTCCGAGTCTGAAACCTCCTCTATTGGAATGAAAGGAAACTTTTAATTAAATCTGCCTAAAGCCTATCGGATATTAATCCCAGACTTATCTATCTTCGACGAAGAATCCTGTATAAATTACATAGCTATTAAAATTTTTAATCTGCTTCCTTTTCTTTTCCTGGGACGGAAAACCTTTTATTATACTCCGAAGTTTTCTTATTTATTCCAATTGATTGGAAGTTTCTTTTTGTTAAGCCAAAAGTCCGGTTTTAAAAATGAAAAACGGAAAAAGTTATTATACGGAAAGAATAATAATATATGGTTTTCTGTTTGATTCTCGGAAAAGATAATTACAAGCCTTAAGTTATTGATTCTTCAAAGCTTTTTCTGTTTTTTTTTATTATTATTTTAGTCTTCTTTTAACATTTCTTGCATCTTTGCATTAATATAATTGGAACAAAAAGTTATCAAAGGAAAAGATGGAATTTTTATTTAAAATGGGACTTTGTTTAGTCTTAAATTTAAGAAAATAATAAGAAACATATGTTTAGTGAGATTAAATTATTTTTAAATGCAATGCAAAAACAATCAAATGCATCCAATATCATCATGCTTTATATTATATATGTATTTAATGAAAGAAAATGTCTTTCTTATTTACACTATTTAATGAATCGGAATATTTTGAAACCTTACCATAGGTAATTAAAACTTCATTTCGCCAACCTTTAGTCGCGGTATAGTTTTTTTATTGTTTACCATTTTTCCTTATCTTATAACTTCATACGTATAATAAAAATATGAATAGTTTAATGTAAAACGAAACATTTTCAACTAAACGATTTTTTACTTCCTTTTTTCCTTTTTTTTTTTTTTTTTTTTTTTTTTTTTTACTTTTCCTTGTGCGAAATAATGAAAATATTGTAATCGCGACTATTTCAGCGAAAATATCTATTTCATCCGCTCTTCGATCTATTTGAACGATACTTTTGCGTGACATCAGTACGTACGGACGGCATAATGCAAACGAATTGTAAAGTCGATATAAAATGGATTCGGAAGAGACTTTTCTGTAACATCTATACGTACGTACGTATGAATGTACCTCGCATATTCCAAAACGAGTACTTTCAAAATCCGAAATTTCTATATGGGACTACTGCAACAAGTAGTTGTGCATCTCCCTTTTTGATTGAAGTCGGCCGTGCTAATCGTATATATATATATATACACCCACTCTGTTACTCGGCTCAGTGAGCTAAACTTTCAATTTTGTGCACAGAAAATTCTGTCTTTCTGTACTCTGGTCGAAGTGCTTGTTTTTGCGCATAAATTCTAATTTTAATTGTAATTTATTTAACTGCTTTTAACTGTGTTTGATACTTTAGATTTGTCTGTATTTTACAATTTTTTTATGAAGGTGTTTTGAGTTTTTATGTATTGCCTTGCCGTGAAGTGAGAATTTAATTAATTGAATGAGAAATGAATTCTAATGCATGAATGAATCTAATGAAATTCGAGTAAATGCGTTTAAATGAAATGCAGCAAAAAGTGTGTATAATTTAACAGACCGTACGAAGAAGTCATGGGGTGCTCATATCAGAATTTTATGTTGTGGGATAGTACCTATATCCAATTTTAGTTTTCGGTACAACTGAAAAATAATCATTTCTCGATTTAATTGTTCGTCTATAAAATGTATTTCACGACTATTTGATTTGATATTACATTCAATGTTTTTAAATAGTTGATTATGCTTAACGAGAATTAATTAAAATTATTGACTGTATAATGACTTTTGAACGAAATTTTTCGCAAATTTTGGGTACGGTTTGTTTACATGCCACATAATTTGCTGTATTAGTATAATTAATTGTTGCACCCTTGCAAGAAGGGTTTTTTGAAATAATACATTTGCGTGTATTACAACTCTTGGTGAAATTGAGTTTGCAAAAATTTCATTTTTTGGCTGTTATATTTATTATATATAAACTTTGAGTACGTACATACATGTAATTAGCATTATTTTTAGCGTCATTAAATTAGAGATAAATGATAAATTTAGTAAAATTTCATTTCCTGATTTTCAAAATTTATCTGCAAAATAAGTATGGGTGCTATTGTATTATCCGCCCAACTGCTCCGCAAAGTCGTCAGTTGTTATCGACTAATTTTTCGCCAACATAACACGTGAAAAACTGCAGCCACTTAAAAAAAATACGGCGCTCTGAAAATTGCATAAAACAGAAACGAATTAGCGAAATTATAAACGCAAGAAATATGTATAATGAAACAGTAAAAATTATATATAAAGCAAACAAGAGAAATCCATCGCGTTTGGAAAAAACTCATCTCCTTCGTTTGTTGAAAGGGTTTTTAAATTTGAAAAGGTTTTTAAATTTAAAAGCGTGAAAGGCACCTACAGTTTCAAGTGATGCATTACTTGCAACACTATAATGATGTCACCCATTGCTACAACTGGGTATTAGTTTCTATTGTGCAATTTCTACAGTTTGTGACAGTTAAAATGCGTAATTTTTTGGATTACCCGGTATTGCTGATTTGGAATACAGTACTATTTATGAAAGGAAATGAAATAAACGTGGTTAAAATTTACTCAGAATATCAGTATAGGATCTATATTTTGAACCATAAACATTAAAGTACTCGCTGATAATAACACATTGCATAATTAACATATACATAATTTTAAAGATATGTAAAAATTATAACCAGACATTCTGAAGTTTTTTTTAATATTTTTTTCTATTTTTAGAATGTTTTCTCAGTAAGAAAAATATATTTAAAGTAAAAAATTCATTAAAACTGTTTCTCTTCTAGTCGTAAGAAAAATTATGAATTGAATGAATAACATGTCGAATCAACAATATGTCAGACTATAGACGTAGTAGAATTATCCACGAGAGCAGGTAAGACACATCTTTAAACTCAGATTTTGATTGTCTGTGATGTAGTCCTAACCTAATCTGCAGATTAAATCCGTTCCCCCTCAAATAATAGAAGAAAAATTAAAGATATCAGTATGAAAGTTACCAGACGTTGAGTCTGAACCATTTACAGGGTTATAACAATCGATTTCACCATTTGTAAATTAGAATCATACCTAAAATTTCTGTTGATGTAAATTTTTATTTTTTATTAAATAATATAGGAGTTAAGAAGGATATTTAGGTTTCGATCTTTTTCCTCAATTTAATAAACACGAAATTAAAATATAAATTTATGAAACAATTTTACTAACAAAAACATAGTTTCTCTAGTTGCAAATATGTATTCATTGTTTAAGGAAAAAATAAATAATCTAAGATTTTAATAATGAAAATAGAAAGAATTAGCTATTTGATTTTTACTTTTACTCCTTGATCTACAATAATTTAATGATGATTAATTATTTTTATAATACTCACTTAGTAATTTATAGACGCATAGCTAGTAAAAAGGGAAACAGTTCATGTAAAGCTATTCACGTTTAGTTTTTTCTTGAACTATTTCTTAAAAATGTATCAAAATATCATGAAATAAAACAGTTATTTCCTTGCTTAAGGTCAACAAGCCAACAAAAGCGGTCAGATTTTTCTATATCAATTTATTTAGTTCTCGTTCGGGAATTATAAATGTATAACACACAAAAGCATAAATATCTAAAATAATAGAAACATATATAAATTATATTTAAGTGATTAATATGATGTGCGTTCAAGTTCTAAGTTCTCCGAATTGTTTCCCTTGGAAATGCAAGCATGCGAAATTATAATAAGTATTTTAAAAGATTAGGTCATTCATTGAGATTAGGGAAATCATGGAAAGTTCGCTTCACTGTTAGAAATCTTCTGGCCTCTTCCCGTGAAAGAAGCATTCTAGATAATGAAGTAGCTAGATTTTACATTCGAGGAACCTTCCACATTCTCCTATTGGCCTGTAAAGAAACCAATCGAAATTAAGTTTCAATTCAGTGAGATATATGGTACAGAGGTACAAAAATGCATAATTTGCGTTTGTGGGTGCAGCCATTCAAAGAAAGTCAAATGTCGAGTAAAAACAAACGAAATTCGCTTCACACAGTTCGGACAGACGATTTTTTATTGCACGAAGATAATAAATGATTGTTAACGTCCACCGATGGACAGTGGTAGTTACAATGAAACTGCATCTTAAAAAGTTTTAAAAATATAAATTTTTCCAGCAGAACAAGAAATGGATCTTGAAAAGGCTGAACGTGTGTTTTTATACCAACAAAAAATTATTGCTTATCTGCTGTCTTGTATTCAAAAGTTTGTTAGTGTCACCAGTTTTGAAGCATTGCTCACTCTCTAACCTTATTTGAAGAAACTTTTGGTTCGCGAAGAAACTTTTGGTTTTACCAACACTGAAGGAATTCTATTCTGAAGGCAAATCATTTCTCGGCTGCAAATCTCATTCAGCCATGCAGACAGGATGTCATAGTTATGAAAAACGTATTCGTTGAGTGGCTGCATATGGAAGACTAACAAACATATGTTTTGAAAATAATAAGAATTTCTTACAACTTGAACGCACCGCACATTTATATTCCATGCATTTAAAACTGTTCTCTATTACTTATAATGTCATCTCAGTTTCCACCAGAATACCATCAAATTCCTTACCTGTAAAAAATATAAATAGTGTCAAGTAGAGTGAAATCAAACAATATTTAATTATAAATAGAACTAAATTTTTAAAATTTCCTTTAAACTAAATACTATACGAAATGAGACATAAAAAACATGAAATATATACCAATGTAAATGTGAAAGTCATATGTTGTAAAGGCAATCGCAAATTATTCGCGCAATGCAAAGGGAATGTAAACAAATTCCATCTAAACACCTTCAAATGACTCACAAAGAGTTGTTTCAATGTCACTAGAATGTTTAATGTACACGGTATTTTCTCTCTCCTTTCCGCATGCCTTCGTGGTGTAACAGGAAGAACACTCGAAACGTACTCGATAGGTCCGCAGTTCGAATACTGGCGAAGGCACTACACATTCTTCAGTTTCCTGGCATCGAAAAATTCTAAAAAAAGACTCTACGATTGTTTGTTTTATGTTATTAACCTATTTTCAATAAATCCTACTGATTTCCAACTGTCGTGATTAAATATGCTTAAACTTCCCTTCAGAAAACAGTCGAAATAGGAAAAAAAAATATAGCTAGCAAATACAAATATATGTTATTTCTATGTATATGAATCTAGCATAGCTGAAAAGTTGATTCTCCATGCACTGTTGACGTTATTGGTTATAAAAGATCTCATACGGTAAGAAGATTTAAAAAGTAGTCTCTGAATAGTAAATTTTTAATGACAGTTTTTACACTTTACTACTGGCAACAAATGAGATAGCATGCTGTTCATTGGCTCTTATAATTTCACCACAGGTACTGTTCTGTAGCTCCGGAAACTCAGATCTTTTTTTTTTTTTTTTTTTTTTTTTTTTTTTTTTTTTTTACGTTCTTAATATTTTACTGACAGCAACAGTTCTTCATTTTGTGATTTAGTTATTTATAGATCCTGATTTCAAATTGTTGATTAGGGTTTGAGTTCTGAATCGTTATTTTAACTAGTTTTTAACAACTAGACTGACATTAATAGCAAAAGCAAAGTTTGTATTTGTTGATGCTGTCGGTAGATGAGACTTTGACATGTAGAATCAGTGAAAGTTTTAATAATAGAAAAGGATAACACCTTTTTAGTTTCAATTTAGCTATCATAGTGTTACTTGTTAGAAAAGAGCAACGTATGACGACCCTGTTTTTCTATACCATACATTTACTATCGTGGAAGAAATCAATCAATCTTAATTCTCACAACTTGAAATTTGCGATAGTGTTTGAAGATTTTGTCTAAATGTCGTGAAATTTAAAGATCAGAAAACGGAAAAAAGAGCATCAAACGCCGAAAAGAAGAGCAGTTTATGAGTACGCAATGCTGTTATTGCCACATAACGTATATTTAAAAAAATGAAAGTTTAAAGAAATAGATTTCTGGGAATTATAGCGTCTTGAGAAGTACTTACGCATAATTACATTCAATCACATGTTTTCTGGAATATACCATACTCCGTAGGACACGGTATCATTAATTGTTTGTTTATTTGCCTATACAAAGCATGTATACTAATTTGACATGCATAATTTCCAAACTTTCTAATCCAACTATATAATTTGTCTAAAAATCATATATTTTTAGTATATCTCATTGGTAATATTTACATTTGTTAACCAAATTCTTAGATCACTCAGTTACAAAATGCGTGCTCCCATTTACAGAATGCGCGCTTTAAAATGGTAATTTCTAAAAATAGTACGAAAAATGTAATACAAAATTCTCGTAACAAAAATAACCCATTACGAACATTCAAGCAATATAAATGGCAATGAAAAATAGTTTGGGAAATAAAATAAAAATATTCAAGCAGATTTTAATCATAAGCATGACCTCGGAGGAAATGAAACTCGGCTAAACTTAATTAAAACTCACTCCAGTATTTGAAGTACAGACTGATCCGAAATCAATTAAAAGTGAAGAAAATTAGAAAAATGACAAAACAAAAAATTATGGATCGAAATGAAGTGCAACCAAGTTTTCCCTTTAACTGATTAACGGGTAAAGTTTTTTTCCCTTACCTTTCCTGCTTTTACGATGAATTTTTACATCAATGTAACAATATCGGAGAAAGCTCTTGGGAATGGAACTTGTAATTTAGACATTAACACGCATAGTGTTATTGATTTTAAAACTATTTTATATTCTTCGTATTTGATTTATTTCTAATCAAAGATATATAAATTGTTAAGAGGTAATAATTATGTCAAGATTTTAATTGAATGACCATTTATATGTAGATAGAACAATGCTAATACTGAATTTAATTTTTATTAAGCACAAAATTATTTGTTTCCATCTAAAATTCCAACTCCTTTCATTATGATATTTTACTTAATGTTTTTCGCTTTACAAAATTTGGAAACTATATTCTTAACAGTTAAATAGTTATAAAATATAATTTATATTTTAGGTAACTTTTCTATTAATGGTTTAACGCGGGTTTCGATAATATTTTAAAAACTTTTGTAAACCGTTGCGTTGAAATATGTAGTAAGTCTTGAAACTGGGACTGAAAAATTTTAATATTAACTGGCCTCCAGAATTTTACAAATTTATTTCCGAGAGAAGTGCTTTTAACACTTTTTGTCAATTCATTGTAAAACTTTGTAATCATCCTTAATTTTACTTCAGTTTTTTTCTTCTGTTTATTTTGTATTGTGTTTCATACTTACTTCTGTAAGCTCCGTGTGATACTATGTGATACATGGGGAACTTATTATGTTTTTTAATAAAAAAAAATACATGAGATTGTTTAGTATAAGAAATTAAATACATTGTTACCAAAATCCCAATTGCGATAAGATAGCTTCCCCGCAAAAGGGTTACTAGCATACAAAACATCAAACCTCTGAAATTTCAGTTCTATTTCCAAGAGATTTTTAAAATCTTTGTAATTCACTATTAAAACTGGCAGCGAAACTCTAATAACAAGATCAAATATCGCAAATGTTTCATATTTGGCGTCTACTTTTATACGCCCATACCGAAGGAAGAGCACTTGAACGTAGGCTCTGAAAACCGAATAGTCTATTGCAGACGAGGAATATCACAAACTGTGTAAACAAAGATTCTGCATAAACAAAAAGTAAACTTCGCCATCTTTAATATGAATGCCGAAGTTTGTTAATATAAAAACAATAAATAGAGTGCTAAAATTTTTGAAGTAAATTTTGGGTAAATTTTTGAAGCACGGGAAAATAACTGCATAAATGTGCAGAGACTCATTTTCTTGGGAAGCATAAACTAAAAATCAAGACTCAAGCTGGATTCTAAGCTATATATCGCTATGTATATTAAGAAGACAGAGAAAGTAAGAAGGATATAAAACCCCCTTTTATTAAGAATGAATGTAACTCAAAATGATAGAAATTCAAATTAAATCTAAGTTAGGTCGTAAGTCAAACAAAGGCTACGCTGAACTGATTAATTAGCAAGATGGCCCAAACCTATATCGGGGTGACAGGCACTAGTAAGAACAAAGCAACGCTGAAGACATGCTGCTATGGAACATGCAATTAGTGGCGTGGCTTTCAACAGGCGGACTACGCTCTGATTAAAAAATATAAAACTTCTCTTTAAATGCTATCTCTTTCTACCTCATTTGAATATGCGCGAACTAAAAATTAGCATTCTGACGAGAAAACGAAAAGAAGGAATGAGAGCAAAACTCTATAACATAAAATAACTGATTTTGTAAAAAAAAAAAAAAAAAAAAAAAAAAAAAAAAAAAAATCAATTTTTGCAAATGATACGCTTTTGAACAGAGCAGAAAATTACATTTTAGATGATCACCTGTACGCGATAATAGTTGAGATAATGTTAAGAACGCTGCAGGTGCAATGGTAGAAAATTTTGCTGAGAGTGCAATTTATATACTGCTCTGAGGATATCGAGTTTCATTATGCAAAACTAGAAAGCCCGGCGGTCCTACGAAATGACCGCTGTTCTAGATATTATAAATTGAAATTAAAATTATTTCTACAAAGGTATATGCTGATTCAAACTGAATTACTCAGGGCAGGCGGCGAGGACGCTCATTTGCTTACTGCCCCACAGAGTTTTCCCCCTTCTACTTGTTTAAAGTAGAATGCAATGAAGGAAACCACTGGCGGTACATTTCTTAAGAGCCACCGCTATATAAATAAATAGAGTTTAAAGATCATGTCACAGGTCAAAGATCTCTTCGTACACAATATTTCTTGTGTAGATCTTTCTATCATTTATAAGCTCGCCTTGCAGAGGGCCATCAATTATTTTTAATTTTACGTCCGTTCTTTCACGAACTCTTGAACAGGCAACATGAATTTGACCATGTGCAAATGCAGGCTCAGGTAAAAAAATGCCAGCACGCTTAAGCGTTTGGCCCTGAGACATATTGATGGTCATAGCAAAAGCAAGTTTCACAGGAAATTGTCTACGTCTCAATTGAAACGGCAACCCTGTTGGAGACGGAGCGAAATCAATTCTTGGAATGACATGTATTTTACCTTTAGAGGAGCCAGTCAAAGACTTAGCTATTATTACATTATTTCTGAATTGGAGAACCTCTAGCCTTCTTAACAGCATAATAATTGCTCCAAACTTTAACCTCAATATGTGAGGTGGCATGCCAGAAGGCGACATACTATTTAAAAATTCCGTTGGAAAGTTGTTGGCACTCGCATTATTGTCAGCTACAACAGAATCAACACTTAAATATGTCGTGTCGTTCCCTTCTATGATATTTAAGACATCATCATTTAGTTTGTTTAGATCAGAATTTTTAGGACACAATATTGCCCTTTCACTAATTTCACTGATGTTTCCACGCTGGATTTTAGTATCCAAAACCCAATCCACTAAACTATCTTTGCATATCATTGACAAAGGAATCTCGACAACGTCTTCACTCAATCCATTATTATCAGAAAGAGTTCCATTTCCAAGGTTTTAAAAGCCACTCACTATATTCGGGATCATTTGACCTCATGTTCAATTTTCAGTGGGAAGTTTCTTA